TCAATCTGTCCTGTGAGCATCAGATGTTCCAAACCCTCTTTTCTCATTATTTGTCCTAGAAATGTCAACTGTCTCTTCCTGGTGTTAAGCATAATTTTCCTTTTTGTTTCCATTTTCTCTAAAACTTCAACGTTGCTAACAATTTCGGTTCACGGTATCCTCAGCATCCTTCTGTAAACACACGTTTATGATGCTTAAAGACTTTTATTCCTCGATTTATTCCTTTATCCCATATAGGAAGACTGATAACTGTTCAGCACTCTCATCTTTGTTTCAAACGAGATTTTCCCTGTTTCTTAATATACTGCTTAGCTTTTGGAAGACATCTTTAGTTATCTTAATGCGCCTTTGAATTTTAGTGTCGCACTTTCCGTCTTCTGTTAGAAAACTTCACAGATATTTAAATTGTTGTATCTTTTTTTCTTTTCTTTTTTTTCTATAACCTAATTTTTAATTTAAATGTTGGTTTGTTTCCTTTTGCCGAAAACCAAGCATTTTGTCTTGCGATTGATTTAAAAATTGCAATTTCACTGATGCTTCGCAGGAGAACGGTGTTTTGCTCGACGGTATACATTTGTATTTCATTTCAAAGAAAGATAAAAATTCTATGCGAAATGTTGATATGGTAGTTGTATTCGGTATAAGCTTTTGTATTCGAGAGCTGAGAAATAATTTAAAAGACAAAGAAAAAAAAAAACTTTATCCTATTTAGATAAAATTCACACAGCGTCCTCTAGAGGGATAAACTGGAAATGTGAAACAATGACAAACCCACCTTTTCTTATCTTTCTCGTAATTTTGTTTGTATATTAACGTTAGGTTGAGGCAGACTAATTCGTTTTTTAGTTAATCGCGAAATCTTATTGATTTAAAACCATTGCAATAGTTGATAAATTCGATCTGTACCAACAAAATTCTAAGCCCCAGCCACATCACAGCGTCTCGTTCTTTTGCCCGTTTTACTGTTTTCCTCCTGCCTCGTTTTCAGGTGATCGATCATCCGCTTCCGGTGTTACAGTGTTATCGCAAACAAAGCAACCAAGGTTTTTTTATGCTTTCTTTGTCTTGGAGGCAGAAACGAACAGATTTGATGCTTGGAAAGAAAGATAGAACGAACGAAAAGAAGAAAGACAAAATGAAAGAATCGAACTAAGCTATTGTCGAAAGAGAGATGTCTAAAAAGAGAGAGATTAAAAGGAAGAATGGGATATGAAAGTTAGCGGAAGGAAGGAAATGGTTCTTTTTTTACACTATTGTTGATTTCGTACAAGGCACAAGAGCTACTCAAGGTGGAGGACTATTAAATGAGATTGTTTTATTGGCGGCAAGAAATGCAGGTTACGAGGATATGTAGGATAGAAAAACGTTGACGTTTGACATGAAGAGGTTAAGTATGTAGGGATCGAGGAATATGTTTCACAAAGTAGCGTATCTTGGAAATAATCTGTCCGAATGGAATTTCCTTCTTGCCAGTAGAATACAAAGGAACCAAGGATAATTCGCTCCTGTGTACATAAAATGGCTATTCCTAACTGTAAAGTGGGGACTAAAGAATGTAGTTCATCAGAATATTTAGCATGAGAATAATGACAGAGTAGGGATAGGCATGCGGCATTTCGTTTGTAGGTCGAAAAATAATTCATCACTCACAAGGCGGCTCATAGGTTGTTTTTTTTTTTTGTTTTTTACCTCTGTCAAGTCTGAACAGAGGAGACTGATAGATTTTTTCTAAAGAAGAATGTTATGAATAAAACTTCTAGGTTAAAACATTTGACGTGGGCGGATGACCTTATAAGTAGATGTCGTTCATCCGGATATTCGCAATCTTTGGTTGGCACCATAATTAAGCTAGTTCTCCGGCGAAGTCAGTTATTGCCGAAACCTGCTACAGTGCAATCCGTTTACAAAACCGTTCTTAGTATAACTAAACTGCATCCACGTCCTGTGTAAGACGATAAATTAGATTTGACAGCAAGGCTTCTGATCAGGAGGTTATGAAGAGCGGGGATCCACCTTTTAATTGCTGGTGTTCCCAGGTCCACCCTGACCCGAGATGGTAGCACCTGTTAGGGGTCCCAGCTATGGGCAAATAGTTAAATCCCAAACTAGGGTCAAAACGTGTAAAAATAGGCTTTTATACCAGTAAAACATTTTTGTAAAAAAAGTATTACTAGCAATAAATGTTCGAAGAAAAAAAAATTACCAGCAATACATTATTACCAGCAATACTTGTTTGGAAAAAATATTATCAGCAATATATTTTTGGAAAAATATTACCAAAAATACTTATTGAAAAAATATTACCAGCAATATAAATCTTGTCGGCATTAAATAACACATTAAGGTTTATAAACCAAACCAAACCAATCCGTTTACTAACTTCACTGACTTGACATCTGAACTGTACCACAAAATCCAGCAACGCGCGACTAAAATAACTTTGAAATGTTTCTAACTACTTACAGGGAAGCATTTTATGTTGTTTTTCTTTTCGCTTTTAGCCACTGACCACATCACTAAAATTAAAATAAAACCTCTGTTTACTAGAAAAACCTTCTGTACACTGAAGTCTAGAGTGTGTATCGTCGCGACATTAAACGTCTAGAAGGGTTCCAGGAAACGAAGCACCGAATACTCCTTCGCATCCGTTGGGAGGACAGTATCACTAAAAACGAGTTACTCTCTGGTACATCTCTCCACAGTATCTAGGCTACCGTCCTTCATTATCGCCTCCGATGGGCGAGTCATGTGTTCAAATTGCGTCCCACTCGACACCCACGTATCATCGCGTTTGGAGAACGTTTCCAGGATCCGTTGAATATACAGGCCAACATCGACCCTGATACCTGGGAAAACGTTGCTGCAAATCGGCCTTCCTGGTGTAGGACGTTCCAAAGCGGGAGCGAGACTTTTGAGTTCAACCATCAGTATGAAGAAGAACTGAGACGGGTTGTCAAGAGGGCCGCGACCACCACCCACAGTTCTCTGGGACTCCTGCTCACAACTCTTCAGAATTAGGATGCGCCTTCACAGTCATCTCTGTCACCGTGACCAGAAGGGAGAAAGAGAATAAGGAAAAATGACGACGATCCCGATGATTGGATACGAACGGGTGCCGACGCGGAATTTTTAAAATATTGGGGTTTTCTTAAAATAATTACGTTTTAACAGAAAGGATATACAAACAAATGTTAAATTTATATAAATACTAGCAGCATGGCCCGGCGTTGCCCGTGCTTGATTCAAAAATCGTACGACTCATACAGCAATCGCTATCACTTGACTTAAAATATTTTTGCCCTTCCTTGCCTTTAAAGGAGTGCCCCTTGCCATGCTCACGTTGCTATATGCCTTACTTCTTGCCTATCTCACACTGTGAATTTTTTCTAAGCTCTATACTAATCTGTTACGAAAAAAGAACTAAACAAAATGAACACAAAACGATCAGCTTTAAAAAAGGACTCGTAACTAGAAAAAACGAATGAAAAAGAATGTTAACAACAAATACTTTTTCACACCCAACCCAGTTCTGCGGAATCAGAATCAACGTTGAGTTTAAGCAAGCGAATGAGCCAATTGGAGTAAAGTGCCATGCAGATTAAAATTTTTCCCACTTGTGACGAATGCAGCTATCGATTTTTTTTGCATGCTAACATGCTAGTTAACATTCGTGTCGGTCAGCTGTTGGCTCTCACGCTGGCCAATAGAATCTTCCTGCCTATTCGTGGAAGCCAGCTATAGGCTCTCAGTCTGGCCAGTACAAAATAGCCGCAAACTACATGAAAACTGCCATAGAAGCATGAAAAAATCGATTGTTTCAACTATCGATGGGAGTTGGGAAATGCAACGTCGGTCTTGGCCTTCCCGCTAACTTGGAGCATTAGCATGTAAATTTTGGTGCAAATCCGTCGAAAACTGCGGCCGTGCATTCGTTGCACACACACACACACACACACACACACACACACACACATCCTGCCTTTTATAGATAGAGATTTATAAATGATTTGAATAGTCTTCATTTTCAACGAATCCAGTCAAAAAAAAAAAAAAAAAAAACGGAAGCATATTTGTCTTTAGTTTAAAATTTTCTACTAATTATGAAATATTCCAGAAATTGAAACAAATGAAATATGTAGGTGCTAAATCTGATAAGTATTTCAGAGGGGCGGGACAACTTCCCACCCAGATGATCTTATTTCTCTTAGGTGGTTTTCCAGGGTGTGCCATTTCAGGGTGATCTCTTGTATGGTGCGCCCTTCTAGGATGTGCATTTGCAGTGGGATTCTTTGCAGGTTTTGCCCTTAAACTGTTATGCCTTGTACTGCTATTTTTTGTTTATCAAAGCAGGATACTTTCGAGGCAAGCAATATAGCTTATTAGAAAATTTTACGCTTCAAAAACGACAGAGCAACGACAGGCTAGTGACTTTTCGTCTGTGTGAAAAAAAAGGGTTGCAGAAAGGGAAATAATTCATCACCAGACAGTTTTGAACAATGTCAAAGCGGAAAAGAGAAGATTTTGTAGCACCAGGCAGCGATATTCTATTTTTGGTCTGATTTATCTCTTGTAAAGGTAAGACAAAAATGCTATGGAAATAGTGAATGAAGCAAGAAAGAATCATAAAGAGATGCATTTTACAATTAAAAGATTGCGACAGCAAAAGAAGAAAAAAGACAACGGAAGGAAAAAAAGAAGAGCAACAAGTGAGGAGAAATAAAGACAGGAAAGGTAAGAATTTTATTGTAAATGGCGAAGTTCTCGGCGTTTCAAGCGTTTCTATTGTGTCATTTTGTTTGGCGGCGTCTTTCTTTGAAATTAGAATTTCTTTTAGATGCTATCCTGTGATTTATTGAATCTTTTCTTGGGACATGTTTTCCATTTTTTTTTTTTTTTGGCAGATTTCAGTCTTATCCACGTGTTGCAAATGACAACTTTCTTTCTTTTTGTGTTCTTTACTTTACTTTATTCTTTTCTTTCTTGATTGCAATTGTTCTTAGAATTTTTCTTTCTTTCTTTTCACTTATTTTTTATATTCTCTTTTCCTTCCTTTACTAGAATTTTCCGTACAACTTTCATTCTTTATTTCTTTCTTTCTATCTTTCGAAATCTTTTCACTTTACGTAATTTTCATTTTCTTTTTTCGTTTTGATTCCAATTTCCAATTTTCTTTTTTTCTACTAAAATATTTTCACTTTTCCTTTCTTTCATATCACTTTCTTTGTTGCCATTTTCAGACATTTTTTACAGATTTTCTTTAATTTCTTTTCTTTTTTTTTCTTTCTTTCTTTCATTCTTTTTCTTTTTTAAATATTTCCCCTACTTTGTTTTGTATGGTTTTCCTTCCTTCTTCCTTTCTTTCTTTCTTTTTAATATTTCCCCTATTTTGTTTTGTATGGTTTTCCTTCCTTCCTTCCTTCCTTCCTTCCTTCCTTCCTTCCTTCCATAGATTTGTCACTTTTGCCCTTCATCGCTTTTTTCTTTCCTTCTGTTTCTTTTTGTTTCTTCTTTTAATATTTTTACCAAACTATTTTTCCGTTTTTCTTTTTCTTAATATTTTCCCTATGTTTGTTCGCATGTTTTTCCTTCCTTCCTTCTACTTCCTCTCGTCTTCTTCCTCTTCATCCTCACACTTCTTGCAGCTTCCATAGAGCAAGCATTACCAAAGAATAAAACAGATTTTGTCACGGTTGGAGATGCCCACTCTTTGATACAGTGTTCACCTCGGTGCCGTCTTCAGCGTTCTTTATCAAACGAACAATAAAAACGCACAGCTTCCCACCTCCAAACAAACCCCATACGGTTTTCAGTAAGTAAACAAAATCGCAAAACGAAATTATGGGCGAACAAGAAACGTCCTATAATAGAATTCTTCTCACGTTAGTAGCATTGAATTCCTCAATCGGAAACTTTAGGACAACGTTTTGTACAATTGTTAATATAAGCGGCCGTTGGCTAGGTTCAGTGGCCGATCCTGTAATTGTCGTCACTTTGTAAAAACAGTTTCCTTGCCGGCGTATTAATATTCTTTAATTTTAGGCTGCATTGATAAAATTTGTGTAATTAAAGAAGCACTTTGGATATTAAATCGAAAAAAAAGGTGTCGCATATAATTAAACATTTATTTTATAAGAGCTGAAAACTTCTCAGCTTAACACACCCACTACAATATTTAAACAGTTACATTTTCTTTTATTTGATATTATATTTTTACTAGAAACACCCATAAAAATTTCACGGTTTTCCTTCGTTAATTTTCTGATGAATCGTAATTCTCCGGTTAATGATTCAATAAGATTATAATGAATTCTACGACGATAAAACATCCACAGAAAATGAAGAAATTTCCCTGCAGCATCGTTAAATATTCAAGTTTAACAACTTTAACAAAATATTTCAAGACTTCATTACGTACCGTGTCTACTCAGGACGTAGGCAAACATGGCTCTCCACAACTTCCTATCCTTCGTAACTCTTAATTAATTTTGGATTTTTGTTATTTCGCCTAAACCTATTCTGCGATACATTTACTCAAGCTCACTAAGGTTGCGCATTGTTTTGGGTTACTGTCCTTTTGCCTTCAGTTTGTCCTGTGAGTATCAGATTTTCCAAGCCGCCTTTCCTCATTGTGTGCCCTAGAATTTTCCTGATGTTAAGTATAATTTTCCTTTTATTTCATTTTTTTCTTCATTGTTGCTCACATGTTCAGTCCATTGTATCCTCAGCATCCTCCTGTAGAACCACTTTTCTGTTAATTCAAGTGTATTATTCAATTTCAGTAACAATCATAAATCTGATTTCTGGTTGTTATTTTAAGAAGTAATTGGTTACAATCGAAAAGATTAGAAATTGACAACTTACCTTATTTCACTGAAAAAAATTATTAAACACTACTTGTATCTCGGATTCTTTCTCTTTTTTTTTTTCCCCTCCCTTTTTTTCCTCATAGAATCCAATTAGCCACTCCAGTATGTGTTTTCTGTCTTGCCCCGCGATCAAAATGGTAGAGTCCATTTTTATAATGTATTGGCAAGGCGTAAGTGTCGAGCTAAAGTAAGAAAGGGAAAAGTAGAAATATAAGATAATAATTATAAACATTATAAACAGATGGCATGTCTGTTTTTAAACATTAAAAATTAATATCTACTCGCCTGTACAATCGGAGCCCCCCCTCCAGTGTCAATAAGCGCAGTCCCCCCACCCCACCAAAAAAGAAGACATAAATGAATGTTCTGAACTTCATTAACAATTTTTACCTCTATCAAAATATCCGAGTGATCGAAAGAAATGAGAATATTTTGGCGTTGATTATTTACATTATTCGGACTATTGTCCTCATCTTTGTCGCCATATTTATTACAAAGTTTCGGCCATTGTACGCTCCTGCCTTTTTCGGGTGGTTGGAATGTCGAACTGAACCCTTTATTTCGCTCACTGGGGTAGACTGTTCTAGTTACACGTGCCATGTTTAATGGATGTCAGTTATCAGTTATCTCCTGCTAATTCCCCTCTGAAAGTTCTCCACTGCTTTAGCTGGGTATTGAACTCATACTCTTTGGGTCCTGTCACTGGATCTAACTAACGCCTTTTGCCGTGTGTCCTTGAGAAATATGCGCTTCAGAAATATAGACAGATTTTGGTGCTAAATCTGAATGGAAGTTGTTATTACTTTGCCGGGTAAAACCTTGAATCGTTATGCTGAAGCATAACACTTTTACTGTTTCTCAAAACACAATGCTTCGTTTAGCCGATTAAACTGTTGCTAATAAACATCTGCAGTGATGGTCCTTCCCTGTTTCCCTATATCATGACTTCTGTCGATGGACTCCTGTGTTCGTACTGGTTTTAAATTGTGTGGGAAACACTTTTTGGTTTTCTGTTGATATGCAAATCCCATTTTTCATCACCCGTAACAATGCAAAAATGAATGGTTGACTTTCTAGGTTAAAAGACGGTGAAACATTATGTTCAGTTCTCAATAGAAAAATCAAATTGAAAACATTTCCAATTCGAAATTTTTCACGAAATCCGAAATGCATTAATAACGACCTGCTGTTGGATATAATAAATAAATGTCTAATTCTAGACGTAGTTTCCCATCATTCTGTCTTGGTTTTGTCTTAGAGCTGCCTTTGTTATTTTATTACTAATTCATGCTGGTGAAATTAGAAATTCATCAACAAAAAGAAAAAAGAAAGAGAAAAAGAAACAAATGTGACGTAGACTTTAAAAAAGAAGAAGTAGAAAGGACATTTTGTTTAAATTTCACAATCCAGTATACAATGTAAGCAAAACAATAAGGAAATAATCGTATGTGATGTGAGCAAATGGATTGACAATCACTGGTTGTTTCTGTGTGAGTGTTGGACAAAACAGTCTGGCGAGTTTTGTTTGAATGTTGTTGGACAGAGTAGCCGGTTAGAAAGTGAATTCTGCTCACATATTTTAGAGTGTAATGTTTTAAGTCCTGACAACTGAAAATATCGATCGTATAGAAAGGAAACCATGTTTGAAAGATGTGCAAGATAAAAAGGAATAAAAAAACCATTGGAAATATCTGCGTCACTTGTCAGCTTTCTGAACCAAACACTCATGAAAAAGAGTATAAAGGCATATAAGTATATATTATAGATGTTATATTACATTATATGAATATATGTATTTACCTGTTTGTCGCTTTTTCGAAGTCATTTTCACTATCGCTATCTCTATGAATGTATATGTAAATCATTGCATAATATTATATCGGCAGACGTATATAAAAAATATATCTTACTTTTACAAAGCTAAAATAAAAAGATGATTAACATTACATAATATTCATGAAAAAATCAGGAGTCAAATTCCTATTAGATATTTTTTATATAAATTTTTTAAAAATTTAAATATACAAGTATATAGATGATATATGTATAACTATAAGTATGATAATTATATATACATATATATGGAATGTTTATGTACATCATTTTATATATATTGTTTAGAATCTCATATCAAAAATAGTTCTGTTTAGGAATATTGTCTCATATAGTGCAGAAAAGTGTTTGAAATTTGCATTTTTCCAGGCATCCAACAAGTTGGCATCTATTTGTAAAGCTTTCCTTAAATATGACAAGCTAATTTATGAAATAAATGCTCATTTAAAATTTTTGTTTCAAATATTTCAAGAAGTGAATATCTTACTTTGCAGAGCGATAGCGAGCGGACGAAGCCTGCTATATATATGACAGCTCCTCAGTGTGGCTAGATGTCCGATTGCTTCCAGGCCGCGATCGAAATATATATATATATATATATATATATATATATATATATATATATATACCTCTGAACTAAATTGACGCACATAGACAAAGAGTAAGATTTTAAAATGTGTTTGTGTGTGTGTGCGTCTGTGTAGAATTTTTAGATAGAGTATATCTCTAAACGGACGATATGATTAAAGAAATGAAGAAAACTTATCTTAGTCGACGAGTTCGGAACCTCTGAAGGTCATTATCAAGGCTATTGCCATTGATGCAAAAGCATTTGCCTTCATAAAGTCCTCCAGACGACGAAACACTAAATTGTTCCTGTTGCCTTTATTCGCCCACACATACATGCACACATATATGTATGTGTGTATGTGTTTGTGTGAGTGTGTGTGTGCACGCGTGTATATACAGATATACAGGGTAGGATGGATAAATTGTCGTCTAAATTACATAAAAAATTACCAAAATTACACAGAAATATCTTGAAATACGAAAGAGTAAATATAGTCAATAAAATCACCATTGGCTCCAACCACGGCCTCCAGCCGATTTTGGAATTTCCTTAAATCTTCTGGCCGGTCTCCTTGTTTAAGTTGTTGAATGATGCCATAATCCTTATCTTCAGCTCATCTTTTGTGTTACAAGTAGATTTGTTGGTCTCTAGCTCAATTGCGCTCCATAAATAATATTCAAAGGGAAAGATGAATGCAGGCATAACGTCGACATCATTAGTGATCTCCAAAAACACCTTCGTAATCACCGTTAGATGTAGTCGTCAGTGTTGAGCCTGTGGCAGCCACCAACAAATTCGGGAGTCAAATGATCTGAATGAGTTTTTCGAGCTGCCATACCTTCGTAATCCCCATTAGGCTCAACCAACTTTTTACCAACACTCTGCTCTGTCCTGAGATTAACACCCTAACACTGTGAAATATTCCTAGTGGAACTTCCGGCGCGAATGCTAAGCAGTATAGCATGCCGTTTCTAAATTTCTGGGGGAGTGAATTGCGTCATGGTGCTCTTTTTCTCACTAACGATGTTCTACTGACCGTAATATACGGTGCTGTCGACAAAATTAAATTGAGTCAATTGCCTCGTCCACCGCAAAGAAAGTTGGCTCCCTGAGCCGCGCCAGGAAGTTTTTCTCCCCGGAGTCGATCCTCCAGATCTATAAATCAACAATTCGCCCTTGCATGGAGTATTGCTGCCATATATGGTCTGGTGCCCCTTCTGTTTGCCTCGGGGTTCTTGATAGGCTCCAGAGGCGGATATGCAATGTAGTTGGCCCTACCCTGGCGTCTCGTCTACAGTCACTTTCTCACAGATGCGCCGTAACCTCCCTCTGTCTGTTCTACAAATATCATGGAAATTGCTCCAAGGAGCTGCATTTGCTGGTTCCCAGACGTCATGAGTTCCAGCGCCTTACGAGGCTGGCATCCCGCTCTCACCCCTTCACTGTCGAAACTCCTAAATGTAGCCGTCTCTTCTACTCTAATAGCTTCATGTCTCGCACCTCTCGCCTGTGGAACTCCCTTCCCTATTCCTGTTTCCCTGTGAGCTATAATCTCCAGCTATTCAAGTGTAATGTCAATCGACATCTCCAGTTGCCTATATATATATTCGTGTGTGTGTGTGTCATCATCATCATCATCATTAGTAATATATTTATAAATGCATATATATATATCTATATATATATATATTCGTGTGTGTCATCATCATCAGCAACAGCATAGTTTCCTTGAGTGTCTCAATCATCGGGGTAGGGGGTACCTACTTGCAGAAGAAACAGAAAACCACCTACAGGATGATCTGTTGGCGGTGGCTGACAGGAGACGCAACATTGTCATGTCCGTCCACACGTTGATGTCTCGTTAGCTCTTGGCTTGCCGTCCGCGCTTTCGTCTGCCTTCAACGGTGCGTTGCATGATGGGATTGCTGAGATGTTATGCATCGTAAAGGTGTCAATGAAGCATCGCCCGACGCTTAATAATTGCGAGGAGATATTCTTGTCGGTCGACGTAACTTTTCACTACTAATGAATAAACATACTTTTCTACCGCCCTAAACACACACACACACACACACACACACACACACACACACACACACACATATATATATATATATATATATATATATATATATAGTGGAGTGAACAATATTTGTACACATACAAATTTTCAATTTATTGTAATTTCAATTAATGAATAAATATATTTTTCATATAATTAACTGTACACAGATGCATAGCTAAAAATGTATAGAAAACAGAAATCCATTTTAATGTTAGAAAAAGGATTCGTACAATGTAACTTACAGATTTTAAAACTTTTAAATTGCTTTAATATTCTAGATTATGCAAGTGGAATATTCTAGAATATTCCAATAATGTTTTCAGTACTTATTTTTAGCCAAGAAATACAAACAAAACATTCTGTAAGTGATATTCGTGCAAGAAGGTTTTCATCATGGAAAGAGGTAATGATCAGACAAATTCGCAAAAAGAACTGATTGTTAATCTCTTGAAAGAAGGTAAAAGTTACAAGAAAATCTCAGTCAACCTGAATATTTCATTTACTACCATTAGTTCATTGCAATGTATGAAAACTCAAAAATATTGAAAACCGGATGTCTGCAAGATCTTCGAGGAAATTAATGCGTCAGATTAAACAAAATCCAATGGTTACTCGTCAAGAGTTGCAGGATGATTTACGTTCATTAGGAATCTGTGTCCCTAAACAGACAATAAACAATGAAATTCATACGAACAATCTAATGTCACATTCGCCTCGGAAAAATCCACTGCTATTAAAAAGATATGCCAGGTCGAAATTCGTTCGTGAAGATAAGGATAAGAAAAAATAGTATTGGGAAAGAATATTATGGACAGACGAAACCAAAATTGAGTTGTTTGGACATAATTCTAGAAATAATTTATGGCGGTGCCTTCAAACAAGAGAACACAATTCCAACAGTGAAATTTGTTGGCGGCAGCATCATTGTTTGGGAACGTTTTTCTGCAAAAGGTACTGGCAACATATCAGTAATAGATGGTAGAATGAATGCCACAGCATATCAAAATATTTTGGTATCAAATTTAATGATTTTGGTTTAAAATCTTGAACTTTCTCCTCATTGGAACTTCCAAGATAATGATCCTAAGCACATTTCAAAATCTACGAAAAGATGGCTTGCTAAAAAAATTTAAATATACTGAAATGGCCAAGTCAGTCCCCAGATTTGGACCCAATCGAGAATCTGTGTCGTTATTTTAAAATTCAAAGACCGGGTTCTATAGCCTTTGATGGCAAGTGATCTACTGCAGAAAGAAATGGCAACCTACTGCACTAATAATCTACCTCGTCAGTCATGTATCGAAAGTTACATGATCGCCTGGCAGATTGAATCTGACTCAGCTTTCCATTTGGAAAAAAACAGTCTTTTTAGATTTGAAAATTTTCATCTCTCTATATCTGCATTTATTTATGTCATTCAACTGCATTCCAGAGCTTTCAAGTGTCCTTTTTATAAACTGTCCAAGGTCATTATATGAAACGTATGTTTCTCATTCAACCTCGCAACCAATTTCATCTTTGGCAAAAATGTAATTTCGTCACTCTCTCCAATATCAGTGTTTAAGCGGAATTTCCCAGCGATAATCGCCAAAATAGCTTGTCGTTTTCGGTTTCTTTCTAAGAAAAAAAAAAAAAATAAAAAGCATTTTCATTCATTTTTCCTTCGCTTCATTACTTTCCTTTGCTTTGTTTTCATTTCTTTCATTCGTTGTCATTACTTTCCTTTTCTGCTTACTTTCTTTGCTCGTTCGCTTTGACTTTCCTTCATTCGTTCTCATTACTTTCCTTTTCTGTCATTATTTCCCTTTTGCTTCTTCATTTGACTTTCCTTTGCTTTCTCATTCTGAGGCTGTCATTACTTTCCTTTGCGTTCGTTTGACTCTTCATTCGTTATTATTTCCTTCGCTGTCATTACTTTCTTTTTCTTTGACGTTCGCTTTGACTTTCCCTTCCTTTGCTCTTCGTTACTTTCCTTCGTTCGTTCATTATTTTCCCAGCTTTTATTCTTTCCTTTGCTCGTTTGACTTTCCTTCATTCTTTCTCATTACTTTCCTTCGCTGTCATTACTTTCCTTTGCTCGTTCGCTTTGACTTTCCTTCGTTCTTTCTCATTACTTTCCTTCGCTGTCATTACTTTCCTTTGCTCGTTCGCTTTGACTTTCCTTCGTTCTTTCTCATTACTTTCCTTCGCTGTCATTACTTTCCTTTGCTCGTTCGTTTCTTTCTTTCTCTTTTGGGCAATTCATTTTTATCATTTTTGTCCATTTTGCTCATTACTTTCCTTCATTGTCATTCAAAATGACTTTCCTTCGTTTTTTCTCATCTACTTTTCTTTCGCTGTCATTAGTTTCCTTTGCTCGTTCGCTTTGACTTTCCTTCATTCGTTCTCATTACTTTCCTTCGCTGTCATTACTTTCCTTTGCTCACTTTGACTTTCGTAGCTTTCTCATTTTTCGTTCGTTCATTACTTTCCTTTGCTCGTTCTTTGACTTTTTTCATTTTCTCAAAACTTTCCTTCGCTGTCATTACTTTCCTTTGCTCGTTTGCTTTGACTTTCCTTTGTTCGTTCTCATTACTTTCCTTCGCTGTCATTACTTTCCTTTGCTCGTTTGCTTTGACTTTCCTTCGTTCGTTCTCATTACTTTCCTTCCTTCTTTCTCTTTGCTCGTTCAAAAAAACTTTCCTTCGTTCTTAGGATTTTTTTCTTTCAGTTGTTTGCTGAAACTGTCGTTCGCTTTGATTTTCCTTCATTCGTTCTCATTACTTTCCTTTCTCGCTTCGTTTGAAATTGATCTTTCTTTCTTTGCTTCCTTCGCTGTCATTACTTTTGCTCGTTCGTTTTTCTTTCCTTCTCATTTTCTCCCAGCTTTCCTTTTTGTCATTAGTTTCCTTTGCTCGTTCTCGTTCTTTGACTTTCCTTCGTTCTTCTCATTATTTTCCTTTCCTATTCCTTTTTGTTCGTTTTGGCCTTTTCATTCAAAATTTACTTTCCTTTTCCGTCATTATTTTGCCTTTGCTTGTTCCACTTTGACTTTCCTTCGTTCGTTCTCATTACTTTCCTTTTTCTGTCATTACTTTCCTTTGCTCGTTTTTGACTTTTTCGCTTCAATCATTCTCATTACTTCTTCGAATGTCATTAATTTTCTCATTGCTTTCTCATTACTTTCCTTCGTTCCTTATCATTACTTTCCTTCGCTTCATTAATTCTTTGCTCGTTCCTTTGACTTTCCTTCGTTCGTTCTCATTACTTTCCTTCTTCATTTTTCCTTTGCTAGTTTTTTGACTTTCAATTGCAAATTTCTTTTCGTTACTTTATTTTCCTTGTCATTTTTTCCTTTGCTCGTTCGCTTTGATATTTCATTATTTTTTTCTCATTACTTTATTCGTTCCTATTTCCTTTATCCTTCAACTTTTTCGTTTTTTTCATTCTTCTCATTTTTCCTTCGCTGTCATTACTTTTGACATTACTTTCCTTCGTTCGTTCTTCATTACTTTCCTTCGCTGTCATTACTTTCATTTGCTCGTTTGGGATTGACTTTCCATTTTCATCATTCTCATTTACTTTCCTTCGCTGTCATTACTTTCCTTTGCTCGTTCGCTTTTTGATCATTTTCCTTTTTTTTCTTTTCTGTCATTATTTTCCTTCGCTTCATTCATTACTTTTTATGATTTGCTTTCGTTCGCTTTCATTATTTTCCTTCGTTCATTTTTCCTTTTCATTAAGTTCCATTCGTTCTCTTAAAATATTTTTTGCTCGTTCGCTTTGACTTTCCTTCGTTCGTTCTCATTACTTTCCTTCGCTGTCATTACTTTCCTTTGCTCGTTCGCTTTGACTTTCCTTCATTCGTTCTCATTACTTTCCTTCGCTGTCATTATATTCCTTTTTCTCGTTCTTTCTCTTTTCCTTCATTTCATTACTTTCCTTTTTGCTCGTTCATTCGTTTCATTCTTTTTCTCATTACTTTCCTTCTCATTACTTTCTTGCTCAGACCTTTGACTTTTTCATTCGTTCCTTCTGCTACTTTCCTTCGCTGTCATTACTTTCCTTTGCTCGTTCGCTTTGAAAATCCTTTCGTTCGTTCTCATTACTTTCCTTCGCTGTCATTACTTTTCCTTTGCTCGTTCGCTTTGACTTTTTCCTTTTTCATTACTTTCCTTCCTTGTCATTACTTTTCTTTGCTCATTACTTTCCTTCATTCTTTCTCATTATTTCCATGTCATTAAACCTTTCGTTCGTTTTGACTTTCCTTCTTTCTTTCTCATTACTTTCCTTCGCTGTCATTACTTTTCTTTTGCTCGTTTTTTTTTTTTTTTTTTTTTCGTTTGACTTTCTCATTACTTTCCTTCAAATTTCCTTCATTGTCATTACTTTTCTTTGCTCGTTCGATAAACTTTGACTTGTGTCCTTCGTTCTTTTCTGATTACTTTCCTTCGTTCTCATTACTTTCTTCTGCTGTCATTAAGTTCCTTTGCTCATTCCTTTGACTTTCCTTCGTTCGTTCTCATTACTTTCCTTCGCTGTTGACTTTTTTGCTCGTTCGATTTGACTTTCCTTCGTTCTCTTTTTCTCATTACTTTCCTTCGCTTTCATTTTTTTTTTTTTGCTTTCGCTTTGACTTTCCTTCGTTCTTTCTCATTACTTTCCTTCGCTGTCATTACTTTCCTTTGCTTGTTTTTTGACTTTCCTTCGTTTTTTATTTTAGATCTTTTTCTTTCCGTTTTTCTCATTACTTCGCTTTCCTTTTTCTTCATTTTCACTTTTTTCTTTTTCGCTTTTGCTTTCGTTTCTTTTTTGACTTTCCTTCGTTCTTTCTCATTTTTCCTTTGCTTTCTTTCCTTCTTTCGTTCATTAGTTCTTTTTCTCCCTTTCCTTTCTTTCCTTCTTTTTTCTCATTTTGCTCTGTTCCTTTGTTTCATTTTCTTTCTTTGATTAGTTTCTTTCCTTCGTTCTTTTCTTTTAATTTTTTCCTTCATCTGTTATTACTTTTTTTTCATTTCTTTGCTCGTTCGCTTTGACTTTCCTTCGTTCTTTCTCATGATTTTCTTTTGTCATTACATTCCTTTGCTCGTTCGTTTGACTTTCCTTCTTCTTCTCATTCTTTTTCTTCATTACTTTCCTTTGTTTCCTTTGTTTTGATTTTCTTCTTTCCATTCTTTCTTTCTACTTTATTTGCTTCCTTTGTTCTTTCTCATTACTTTCCTTCGCTCGTTTTTTTCCTTTGACTTTCTTTTTTCTTCATTACTTTCTTCTTCGCTTTTACTTTCCATTTGCTTTCATTCGTTTTGATTTCTTTTTCCTTTCTTGAATTTTTACTTTTCCTTCACTTTGTCATTACTTTTTTTATTTCCTTCTCGTTAAATTTCCTTTGCTTTGACTTTCCATTCGTTCTTTCTTATATTATTTTTCCTTCTTTCCTTTGTCATTACTTTTCTTTGATCGTTGCTCGTTCGCTTTGACTTTTTCCTTCGTTCTTTCTTTTTACTTCAACGATCATTCCTTTTGTCATTACTTTTTTTTTGCTCGTTCGCTTTTTTTTTTCTTTGCTCGTTCGTTCTTTCTCATTACTTTTCCTTCGCTGTCATTACTTTTCTTTAATACTCGTTCACTTTCCTTCTTCTTTCTCATTAAATTCCTTCGCTTTTTTAATTTCTTGCTCGTTCATTTGACTTTCCTTTCTTCTCATTACTTTCCTTTGTTGTCATTACTTTCCTTTACTTCATTCGTTTTTTACTTTCCCTTCGTCTTCCTTTGCTCTTCGCTTCTTTCCTTTCGTTCTTTCTCATTACCTTTCCTTCCTTTGCTGTTCATTTTTTTTATTTTCTTCATGTCTTTTTCTTTGCTCGTTCTGGAAGGTTTCCAGGAATAAACATTAGTTTTCGCTTTCCTTCGTTCTTTTCTCATCTTTCCTTTGCTAAAATATCTTTTTTCTTCATTCGTTCTTTCCTTCCTGTCATTTTTCTTTTCCTCTTTTTCTTTCATTTTTTTCTCAATAATCTTCTTTCATCATTGTTTCTTTGACTTTCCTTCGTTCTTTTCATTACTTTCCTTTTTCCTTCGCTTTCGTTTCTTTCTCATTCCATTATTTGCTCTTTTTCTCATTGTTTCCTTCGCTGTCATTACTTTTCTTTTTCTTCGCATTGTTTCCTGAAAAATCTGTTTTACGTTCCTTCATTAACTTTCCTTTTTCCTTTTGACTTTCTTTCCTTTTTCCGTGTTTGATTTATTTTCTCGTTTGTTTTTCATTCGTTTCATTAGTCTTTCCTTCGCTCATTTTCGTTCCTTCAAACTTTTTTTCCTTGCTTGTTTTTCCTTTTGCTTTGCTTTGAGATTACTTTCCTTCGCTGTGTTCTTTCCTTTGCTTTCTTTCCTTCATTTCTCATTACTTTCCTTCGCTTTTTTCCATTTGTCCTTTTTCTCAATTCTCGTTTTTTCTAAACTTTGCTCCTTTGTTCGCTTAATTTCGTTCGTTCTCAAACTTTCCTTCTATGTCATTACTTTTCTTTTCGTTCGTTCTCTGTTACGTTTTTTTTTCTTTTAAATTTTTTCTCATCCATTCATCCATTCAAAAAAATTTCCTTTCATTTTTTATTTTACTTTCCTTTGTTTTTCTTTATTTCCTCCATTCTCATTTTTTTAAATGGATTCTTTCTTTCCTTTTTTTTTTTCGTTCTTTTTTACTTTGCATCTTCTTTATTTTTCCTTCCTTTGGGGAGAAAGTTTTCTTTTGTTCGGTCTCTTTAAGTTGTTCGTTCTTTTTTTCTTATCTTTCCTCCATTCTTTCGAATCTTTCTTTCTTTCTTTCGTTCGTTCTCTTTCATTTCGCCCTTTCGTTTTCGTTAATTTCCTCCGTTCATTCTCTTTAAGCTTTTCGCTCGTTCTCTTTCATTTCTTTCGTTCGTTATTTTTACTTTCCTTCCTTCCTTCTTTTCAATATACTTCGTTATCTTTACTTTCCACTGCCTGTTATCTTTACCCCCCCCCGTTCGTTCTCTTTAATGACCTCCGTTGCTTCCTTTTACTTTCCTTCCTTTGTTCTATTTACGTTCATTCGTTCGTTCTCTTTATGTTACCTCTTTTCGCTTTCTTTACTTTGCTTCGTTCTTTCTCTTTGCCTTTCCCCGTCCGTCCTCTCGACGTTCGTTCGTTCTCTTTACTTTCTTTCGTTCGTTCTTTCACTGTGGTTCGTTCGTCATTCTACTCATTGTTCATTCATTTGCCCAAGTCGCTTGATAATTTATCGTAACTTTTCGGCAAATTATTTTCCCTCTCCTCCTACCGCCACTTTGCTACCCACAATTCCGTGCTTTTTAAACCATCCTTATAATTTAAGTCATATAACCTCCATGATGACAAAATTCTTTTAAGCTTCATATATACATTATATATGTTTATTATACAGAGATTCTCTGTTTCCTGTTTATGATTGGGTTTCTGATTCCTTCTAAAGTCTTAACATTATCTTTCCCTCACGATCCCTCACGAATCGATTACGTGTTAGTGACAGTATTGTCTTCCTTTGGGTGTTTTGATTAATATATATATATATATATATATATATATATATATATATATATATATATAATAAAAGGCTTAAACACTAATATTCCATGGTCATAATTTATTCCATTGGAATCGTAAATACGATCCAATTCATCAGACCTACAAATTCGAAACTACCTGGATTCTATCCTCTTGGAATTTTTTTTTAAAAATATACATGTATGTGTATGCACCTATGTATATATATTTATATATTTTGCATATGTATGTGCATATTTACCACTAATATTCTCTCTCTCTCTCTCTCTATATATATATATATATATATATATATATATATATATTAACAATTACACCTATACCTACGTTTACAGTGCGTTTACTTTTACCAAGATTTACAGTACGACTCAAATTTTCCTAGATTTGCCAATGAACAGGTAGAGAATTTACGAACTTTTCAATTTAATTAAAATTTAAAAAAGAAACAGCCGTATCGAACATTCCGATTTTTGTACCTGATGATTGGCAAACCTATGAAAATCTGTCTCGTACTATATAAGTAGGTATATGTGTAATTATTAATGTATACTTTATAGCTCTGTTTTACTACATTGAACACTGCTTTCGCTACATCATCGATTAAATAAATAGTTATTTTCTCACCTGCATGTGCATGTAAACGATTATATATATGCTTGATCGT